TAAAAGGCTGACTAGTCTCAATGGAATTGTATGCCTCTTTCCCAGTCTGCTTGTTCCTGATATTCAGAGTAAAATTGAAACAATCAATACTGAATGTCCTGAAACAGCTACTAGGGGAAATTTTGGAAACAGACTGCAACAATTCTAGAGTTTAGTTTTGTGACAAATCACTGTATGTCCTTCCTCTCACAATTAAGCGTGCACCCCTTTTGCACACATTAAACCCGTGCCCAGACATTAAACCCATACCCAGACTGCTGAGCATGCAGCTTAAGCAAGTGCCTCCATATCTGTAGACTTTTGCAAAAACCAGAACAACCCCCCCAAAAAAAACCTCAGAGACCAGCAGATGTGGTTAATAAGCTGAACTTTATTGAACAGGCTACTTTTCTGCCCAGCAGAAATATTGGTCTGTACTTTGTCGTCCTTATCATTTCCTTCATCACCTAGAGGTCTCTGCAGGTTAACCAGAGGAGAGCTGAAATCGGAAGGCCCCCAAGGCAGCTGCCATGCAAATGTATGGCAGGAAATCCCATTCTGGAAAACAACGCCCATTCCCCAGAACTGGTGTTGGGATACCTTCGAGACAACATTGTCGTTGTTGCTGAGCCCTTGTGCTGTTGTGGTGACGCTGCAGTCTCTGAGCAGTCTGGTTGTGCACATTATATTATGAAGCATCTTTCTGCACAAAGCTGTGATGTTTACTATGGAGCAAGTGAGTTTTTACAGATTTCTCATGTGCTCGCTCAGGGGTATCATCCTCTGCTGATTCAGGCTAAGGACAGTTCAGGAAACCCTCCAGGAGATGGTTGGTGGTAAGCACCCACCTGCTGATATGCCTGATCCACATGTGAGCAGGAATTAGTTTTGTTACTGGGGGCAAAATTTTTGGTGGGAGTGCAGGGCAAGGAGATACTAACAGATCTTCCTGGTATTGACTTAATCTTTCCTGAAAAAGTCAGGATTTTTTTTTTTTCCACCCCAGTGTCTCATGGCTGCTTAATCTGTTTTTGTTTGGCAGATTATAGTTTTACTTAGCATTTTCTAAGCCTGACAGAGGATATGATTAATGCTGTTCATATCTGTTGTGTTTGCGTGTGTGAAGGATCGCCTGTTCTTTGTGATGGAGTTCGTTAATGGCGGGGACTTGATGTTCCATATTCAGAAGTCGCGTCGCTTCGATGAAGATCGGGCCCGCTTCTATGCTGCAGAAATTATTTCAGCCCTTATGTTTCTCCATGAAAGAGGCATCATTTATCGGTGAGCTCTGCTTTCATTCATTCATTCTCTTTGTCTGAACCCCACAGCTGAGATGATAGCTTGAGTTTTCTGCTTGAATAAATAACTGCCACTTGCTGCCCACTAGGAACGAGTTGTTGGCTGGGACAACAGTACCTCCCCTTTCCCCCTGCATGTTATCCAAGGTACACCAGCGTCCAGGAGGGAGTGAAATTTCTAGCTGCAGTATTGACTACGGGGAGGGTCTTCCTGTGATGTGTGTGCAAGCACGTAGGAAAACAGGTTTTCCTTCCGAGGCACGGGGGCTAGATTTTGCACTGATGTCAGTTCGTGTAGCTGGCTTATATCAGCCCCAGCACTGCCCCTTGTCTGCACCTCGGGTGCCTGTGTGGCTGCTGGGTGTTAACTGCTGACCGACAGAAGCCTCCGCCGTGCTGCTCTGGGCCTGACCTGCTGCTGGAGAGCACATGTCAAACTGATGACAAAGGGAGAGAGGCACTAAGTGAAACCTTCCTAGATTTTCTGGGAGGTAAATGCAAGGAGCTGTTGCTTTTGCCGCTGCGTGGAGCCTTGTTATTTAAAGGCTAATATGTGCTGGTTATACGCAAGCCCCTTTGTTTCCCTGTATTAGCCAAGGGCCTGTGTTTAAATCCTATCTATTTGACATACCTATCCAGTGCCACTCAGCTCAGCCACTAAAGG